CTGATGACCGTTCCTTCTTCCTACTCTTTCTCATTTCCTCGGGCTCTCAGTTTTCTTTCCCAGATGAGACTCATTCCTTTTGTCTCCCGCCCTTCGCCCATTCACAGGACGAAGGATGCTGGGCGACTGTGGATAACCTGAGGGTGGTTGTTCCTTTGTCTTGGGCTCCATTTCTGTCGGTTCCTATAAATGCCAGGAGCCTGTTTCTAAGATTCTGGGGGTGGCTGCCCCAAAGCCCGTTTTTCCATCTCCCACAAAAGAGCCATCAGAGGAGTCACCTTCTCCAGCTTCTGGGACCGCCCCATCTGCCCTTTGGGCACGGACATCTCTCTGTCTGTGATTTTATGCATTTCCTTTCGCTGTCCTTTGTAGCTGTTCTTCCAGGTACTACTCAATGACAGTGAATCTGTCCCTGTCATGGGCAGGGCCCTGGGGAGGCCATAGGTGGTCACTGCTGAGTGGGAGGCAAAACGAGGCTGGAAAAGACCTCCAGGAGCGTGAAAAATACAGACTCTGGGGCCTCGGAGGAGGCGGGGGTCAGCGGGAGCTTCGGAGGGAAGGATTGGGGTGTCCGGGCACGTGCTCGCTGCCGCCATCTTTTTTCCACAGTCAAAGGTGGCCAAAGGAGCCCCCAAAACACAGGCCTTCGAACCCCCTCTGCCCCGTCTCTCTGGGCCCGCGTCCCACCTCTCCTCTCTCTCCTCACCCCTAACGAACCTCAGTGTGGCCGGTGGGTTGGCCACCTGTCCTGCTGGATCATGGGTCTGTGGAGTGATGTCACAGACCCATAGCAGGACGCCCCCTCTGGGTACAATCGAGTGACCACGCCGGGGGCCGGGGCAGCCTGTGTGCGACGCTGCGGTTCGCAGAGAAGAGAAAACAAAGTAGCTCTCGGAGAAGGAACCCCCCGTGTTGGTTCGTTGGTTTTTATCCAAGGGGGCCGAACAGCGAGGTTAAGATCTTTCTTTTCTTGCCGTGACTCGGACAGGACAGGAGAGGGGGCAGCACTTCTGAGCCTCGACCTTGTGATTCTCTCTCTTTCCTGCAGACCCGAGCGGAAGCGGAGAGATGTCGCACAGGTGGCCAACACCACCATGTCCAGCCGAAGCAGGAACAGCACGGCGGACGCCTACAACGTCACAGACCTGGAAGAGCTGGAGACGGAATATCCTTTCTACGAGAGCAGAGTGGACAACAAGGAGAGAACCGTCATCTCCAACCTGCGGCCCTTCACTCTGTACCGCATCGACATCCACAGCTGCAACCACGAGGCGGAGAAGCTGGGCTGCAGCGCCTCCAACTTCGTTTTTGCAAGAACCATGCCTGCAGGTAGGGTGTGATCCAGCCGCCCAGCCCCGGCTCGCTCACAGCCTGGGAGGAAGATACTGTGTCATAGGCTCGCAGTCTCCTCGGTCTCAGGCCTGCTCATTATGGGGGGCGGGAGCCCATCTGCGGGCCGCCGGGGAGGCAGCAGCCCGGGGCGTAGAGTCCAGTTCATTGTGACATCCCCGCCACCCAGGCTGTCAGCCTCTCCAGCCTCAGTGTCCCCACCCTCCCGGAAGAGACAGATCCCCTGTGACTTGTGGTGACTTTCGCTCACCACGTGGCTTGCCATTTTAAGAAAGCAAAGGCCGGAGAGCAAGCCCCCTAACTTCAGGCGGCAGTTGGGGACAGAGCCGACGGTGGCAGTGAGAGGCCAGCTTCTCAGCGGGCCGGGCCGGGGACCGTCCTTCATAGAAATTGCGAGGGACTCGGGGCGCGGTCTGGAGGCTGATGCTGCTGCTTCTCACACTTGGCATATACGTGGCTTGCCATTTTAAGAAAGCAAAGGCCGGAGAGCAAGCCCCCTAACTTCAGGCGGCAGTTGGGGACAGAGCCGACGGTGGCAGTGAGAGGCCAGCTTCTCAGCGGGCCGGGCCGGGGACCGTCCTTCATAGAAATTGCGAGGGACTCGGGGCGTGGTCTGGAGGCTGATGCTGCTGCTTCTCACACTTGGCACTTTCTGATGCCACTGTGTTCGACAGTGTCCCGTAGTTTCTTTTCCCACGTGGTAGACGCTGACCCCCCAAAACACGCGACTCACGTTGCCACAGCCCTTCCCGCAGTACCTGAGAGCAGGCTTTGTCATTGCGGGGGGGTGTCATGGCATCTTGAGACCCACCGGTCATCAGATGGCTCCAACTGCAGGACCCCACTGCGTGTGAACAGCAGGCTCACGAGGGCTTGACACCGTCACTGTCCCACACGTGTGGCTTGGGGGAGGGTGTCCTCGGGTTAGCCCGCTGTCGACGTTCCTCCTGACAGACCCGAGTCTGACTTCATCGCCCGTGTCCATTGTCCCACAGAAGGAGCAGATGACATTCCTGGGCCGGTGACCTGGGAGTCGCGGCCGGAAAACTCCATCTTTTTAAAGTGGCCGGAACCTGAGAATCCCAATGGATTAATTCTAATGTATGAAATAAAATACGGATCACAACTCGAGGTAAGACGGGGCGGTGGCCGTGTCTGGGGGGGTGTCTCCATTACACTACGACACAGGTCACCTCCTGGTCAGCTTAGGACTGAAAACGATGAAATAAGCCGCCGAGTCAGTGAGGATTTGGGTCTTTCTACCAGCTCTGCATCTTTGAGGAGCTGGATCTGCTCTCACCTTGCACAAAATGCTCTTTAGGCCTGGACTGGATTGGTCTTAATCACGTTTAATCTCTCCGGGGTTCTGTTTGGTTACAAAAAAAAAAAAAAAAAAAGTTTGGTTAAAACTTAGGTGGGCTGAAAGTTTCTGCTGTGGAAGACTCGGTTGGTTTCTTCCCCGTGTTTTACAAATCGGGATGGCTGTCAGGCGGGAGGCGACAGACTGGGCCGCCGGTCACCCGCTTCTCGTGCGTTTGTGGCGAAGTGACCCGTCTGTCTCCCTCGCCCCAGGACCAGCGGGAGTGCGTGTCCAGGCAGGAGTACCGAAAGTACGGAGGCGCCAAGCTGAACCGGCTCAACCCGGGCAACTACACGGCCCGCATCCAGGCCACCTCTCTGTCCGGAAATGGGTCGTGGACGGACCCTGTGTTCTTCTACGTCCAGGCCAAAAGTAAGACCTGGGGGAGGAGCCGGGAACGTGGCTTGGCCTGGAGCGGGGAGCCCGCCTTATCTTGGCTTCCGTCTTCCTTTGGAGCCGAGCTGGCCATCTTTCGGGGGGCGAGGGGGAATCCCCTCATCTGGGGCTGCGGGCTGGGCGCTGCTGCTCCTGGAGTCTCTCTCATCTTACGGACGGGGGGGGAGCGTCTGAGACTGTCTTCTGAGGGAGGGAACAAGCAGCTTTTGCTGTCAACTTCGTTAACGTCCAGAGCGTTTTACAAAGCGCGGGATGGACCATCCCCCCACCCGACCGCCTCGTCAGGGCTCACAGATGCAGGGCTTAGAACCCCGAAGGGTGACAGAAACCTGAGGGCCACCCAGCCCAGCCTGCTGCTCCAGGGCCAGAGTCTGTGACAGCACGCCAGGCTGAGTGAGACACTGTCCCCTGCACCGCCTGTCGGTAAAACGCAGGTGCAACTTTGAAAGCAGTGATGCTCATGGAAGCGTGCCGGTGGTGACGTGCAGAGGCGGGGCCATGTCGATGCTCAGACCATCGACGAGACAGAGTTCTCAGAAGCCCACTCTACACGAGGATCTCCGATTTTAAAACTGAATTTTGTAAAGTGCATAGGTACTACTAGGGCCCTATTATACTTGCTTGGCCGAGAAAATTCAGTCTCTTATCCGGTGGCATAAATATTCTTTACTAGTTTCATATTGACTTTCTGCTATTTCTTATTAGAAACCCAGTTCTTTTAGATTATTTCCCATTCAGAGAATGGGAAGAAAATGTGGCATATCAGTGTTTCTTGCTGCCTCTCCCACAAGGAAGGGCAGCCCCACCTCGCTTCGCGGCGCGGCTTTTGGGTCCGGTGGCCAGTCTCCACCGCCTTGCTCCCTCCTGGGGTCCACATCCGTGCCGTCCTGACCTGGAGTCCGAGTTTTTAAATTCAGGATTCGACCGATCCAGCAGTCGACGTGGTTCGCGCCTAATAGAACCAAAGACATGCACGATGTTGGAAAATCCTAACGGGAACAGATGTCACGAGAAGGAGAGGGTGCGTGGGAGGAGAGGCCTCGGGGCTGCGTTCTGTGAGCCTGGCCCTGTGCCTGGGTCCCGGTTTTAGGGGTAAACAGATGCTAGGGCAGATAATTCCGCGAACTAACTTGGTCTGAATTCTCCACGTGGTCCGCTTCTCCCGCCCTTCACACGCAGCCTATGCCACCTGCGCCCGCACTGGACCCTCCGCAGTCTTCCCGGGACCCTCCGCAGGGTGACACGTTGCTTTCGCGTCTCTCCACTTCTGTCTGCCTCCATCCTTCAGAAACAGCCTAGGTTTGGCGTCTGTCTTGGGGCTGTGGTCTTAGAAACGGCAGCCGTGGCTCCTGGTGGGCTCTTGCCAGCAGCAGGAGGCACACGCCACGAGGACCCGAATCTGAACGCACGCTTTGCTGTCGGCAGTTCTCCCGCGCATCAGACGTGACTCTCTCCCGTCGCGTTCCGTCTCGTCCCCCCCGGTTTGAACCCTGCGAGGAAATGGAGGATGTGGGTGCTTTCTGGCAACTTCTCCCCTTTCGGGAGCTCTTCGTGTGCTCGAAGATTGTGAAATCACTCTTCCGACTTTTCTTCTCCAGACTAAAGAATCTCAGGCTTTGAGCCTTATTCTCAGAGACCGATTTTCTAGCTGTTTAATCATTTTGTTCTTCTCTGGCTGTGTTCCAGTTTCTCCGTGTCCCTGTGGAAATATGAAACTTGAAAAGAACATGGTACAAGCTCATCAGTAGCCTCAGTGACACGAATATAAGAAATAGTACTCAGGGGGGAAAAAAACACGCCCACAGCTTCTCGAAGGCAGTGATAACTTGTATTGTCAAGAACTGGAGAATGCAGGGGCCTGCATCCATCTATTTTGAGAGCTATTTGAGAAAAATATCTTTAAATTAAAAAAATGAAAAGAGCTTCTATCGTCCTTGAAGAGTAATGATAGGAATAGTTTTCAGTGGCAAGATACTCATGGATGAGTGATTCGCATTGATGAGTAACTTGGTCCTCAGTGAGTTCCAACCCCTTTTCCACGTAGACGTCTCTGTTTGGGTGCCCCAAGGGCACCTCACACTCCTCGTGCACAAAACTGGAACCACAGTTGCCACCCTCAGACCATCTCTGTGTTCTTTGTGTCCTGAGCTCAGTCGGTGGCCCCATAATCTATGCACCACCCAAGCCCCGGCCCGCCCAAGCCCCGCCCCGCCCAAGCCACGCCCCTCCTTTCTCCCAGGCTCCCTATTTCCCGTTCACACCCATCTCTCTGATTCTGCCTCGTAAACACCTGCAGAATCCAGCCTCTGTTGCCATCACCACCGCCCGAGCTCTGCCTCCAGGGTGCTTGCTTCATGGGGCAAGTCGGAGTGGTGGGTACAGGGAGCCCGGGTTCCAATCCTAGGGCCATGTGTGACCAGCTGCCTGTGTGACCCTGAGGACAGCAGGTCACTTCTGTCCTCCTCGTTTGTAGGGAGGAGCAGTGATTTCTCAGTGAGGTCTGACCTGGGTAACGCAGAATATGCCCAGGTCCCCTCCCGCCCCCTCAAAGGCAGGCAGTGGCTCCTCCCCGCTGCCAGCCCCCTCAGGATGTCCCCAGCACGGACATCTCTCCATACACCATCCGATCAGTGCTCTGAGGGGCTGGAGAGCGCCCCCTGGCGCATCTTAATCTCCATGACAAGATTCGAATGGCTTAGCTCGGGCAAGGCCCCTGGGGAGCCAGTCCCGACTTCTGTCCAGCACGGTCCCCATCCAGTCCTGTCCCCACCCAGTCCTGTGTGCTGGGAAATCTTCTGCCTCCGTCCTCTGCACCCGTCCCCTCTGCATCCTTGCGGCCTGTACGGTCCACTTCTCTGGTCGTTATGCCGCTTGAGAGTGTGTTGCTTTCCTGCATCTGGCAGCGTTTTCAGAGGTGTGGGTCAGCGTCCCCAGTGCCCTGCCTGCCATCTGTCATGAGTGCTGGTGACGGCGACAAGCAGGTGCTGCAGCAAGCTCTGTGGTCTCAGGCTTGGAACTGGGGAGAATTCAGAGCGACTTCGGCAAGGGGTTACTTCTAGCCGTTTTTTGTTATTTTACATTTTCTGCGGACCTGTCTTAAAACAGATAAAAACGTCAGACAGCTTGAGCTCTGTATGTGTAAGAATCTTTTTTTTTTTTAGCAAACGTATGCATTTCTCTTAACAGTTATTAACTGCATACAAGATTATTTTACTTGAGCCCATCATTTGAACTCTTATTTCAAATATACACTAGGCTTTAAAAATAAAAATGAGTCTACTCCTCAGTCTGTACTTTTGTAACCTTTTTTTCCAGATGAAGAAAACTCAGCGTTTTTGCTCTCATTTCTAATACTGTTTACCGTCAGAATTTCTAGTTCGGGCTCGGGCAGTAGAAGAATTTTCAGGGTTTTGTGTGTTTATTGTCACGCTTCCAGCTAAATATTTAAAAAGTGAAACGAGCAGCTTGTCCACCTAGTGACGCTGACTGTACCTCCTTGTTTCTGCAGCGACCTATGAAAATTTCATGCACCTGATCATCGCCCTGCCCATCGCCATCCTGCTCATAGTGGGGGGGCTGGTGATAATGCTGTATGTCTTCCACCGGAAAAGGTGAGTGACCCGATTTGTGGCTAAGTGGTGTTAGGATGTGACACCGAGCTAAGGTCAACTTTGTGAGGAACTCCTTGGTGGATTGGAAACCCCGACTTTCCGATCCAACGGTCTTCACGGGAACGAGACATTCACTAATGATTCAACAACGACTGCATGTTTTTGGAGAGTACGGATCATCACCTCCCCAGTCACTTTGTCGCACAGATCCTGCTGCCGATGTAAAGATTTTCCAAACCCCACGGCATGGCCCTCTCGATCAGATAACCCTTGCGATTTCCAGTGAAGTAAACGAGTGGTTTCTTAAAACGCTCTGAGGCCCTGCAGAAGCCAAAAAGCACGTGAGCAAATGCCCGCTAATGCCCTGGGCCTGTAGGTGACAGCTAGGTGGCCCGAAGCTCACCTCACTCCCTTTCTCCTGATACTGTATGAGACAAAAAGGACATAGCTCAGATGCAAGTATCTATGTGTACGGAAATGTGTGACGATGGGCTTTTTGGGGGCCTAAACTTTATCGTTTTTGACAGAAACAGCAACAGGCTGGGGAATGGAGTGCTGTACGCGTCCGTGAACCCCGAATACTTCAGCGCGGCTGACGGTGAGCTTCTCGGCTGTACACTCACTGTTGGGGGGCCCTTGATCGGGGAGCTTTTGGGAGTATTGCTAGAGGGGAAAAGGGGTCCACATTATTTTGAGGGACCTGTGGCCTCAGATCCATCTTCACCGACACTTTTAAAAACTTCCCTCCAAAGTTTTTAGCAGTTCACTGAACATCTCAAAAATTCTGCATCTGTTTGGGAGGCTCCAAGGAGAATCAGGCTTCAGAGATGAGTGTGGCCAGCCCAGAAATCAGTTTATTTAACGGCTTGAAATTTTTTGCTAAAATGAAAAAAGCTGTTAAATTGTTGACATCCAGTCAGAGGATGCGCTGCAGCTGACAACACAGTTCTTTTGCACTAGTTTCAGCCTGAGTTTCAGACCGTTATACTTGTCTTTGATCACTTACGGCCCCCCCTCAAGGTTTATCTCGCAGTTTTTCTGTTCGTTCCCTCCTGATGGGGTCACGTGATGTACATACTCACGGCCCATTTCTTTGGTAATGACTAACGAGGGCCGTTATTTAAATGGCTAAGAAGGTCTGAGTCGAAAGCTGTTTTTGTGGTTTTTTTTGTTTGTTTTTGTTTTTTTTGGCTGTCTTGTCTTTCTAGCGTACTTAAATCCAAACCTTGAAAAGTAAGTTGGGTTGGTGCATTGCTCATGGCCTCCCGCAACGCAGGTGCTGTTAACTGGCACCTCGCTATTCCAAACGCAGTCCCATTAGTCCTGACATCCCTGTCAGGTGGATTTCCATATGCCCAGCGGTCCCCAACCTCTTTGGCACCGGGGACCGGCGCTCCTATGAGCATCTCATGCCTGATGAGCTGAGGCGGAGCCGAGGCGGTGACGCTGGTGCTGGGGAGTGGCTGCAGATACAGGTGAAGCTTCGCTCGCTCACCTCCTGCTGTACAGCCCGATTCCTAACAGGCCACAGACCGGCACCGGTCCACAGCCTGGGGGTTGGGGATCTTTGTATATGCCCATCTATGTGCAGGTGGGGACTGGGGGCTCAGAGGAGACGCTTGCTCAGGTCCCATATTGGCAGCTGAGAAGTCGGAGCGACTCCGTCCCTGACGTCTTGTTGACAGTGTGATGCAGTCACCGTGGGAAAGGACGGTGAGGTCCTCGGGGCGGCCAGGGAAGCTGGCCCCCGGGAGGAGCTGGATCCAGTTTGTCACACGAATGAACCAGGGCGTGAAATCGGGCGGATGTGCTTCGAAAAAGGGTTCGCCTCTTTCTCACCTCAGGAGAGGTGAAGCTAGATGTGTGGGAGATGTGTGCCAGTCTCGATCATTCGAATCGATTATGCTGATCGAATCAGAAAACATGAGGAAACACGGCGACCATTTAAAGGCACCGGGTCACTATGTAGAGCTTTACTCTGACTTCTTTAATCATTTCGAATTCAGGTGTGTTTCTGTTGAAGCCAATCAAAGGGCAGCCTCCTCTGAATGGAAGTTCAGTGCAAGATAATAAGGACTTTATTGCAGTTTCTAGAAAGTCTCACGAAGTTGTATTTGTAATGGGCAATATATATGTGCACACATAGACACATGCTCACACCCCATGCCCCATATGTGTACCTCTGTACATATGTATATATATAAGCCATAGAGAACATTCTGGAAGGATACACACCAAAGTTAAAAGAGTAGTTATGTGTAGAGAGGATCTTTTTCTTAAAAAAAACAAGAAGGTTTTTATGTGTTGTTTATATCAATAATAGCTTTTTAAAAAGTGAAAGTAAGGAGTCATCACACACTTTGTGGCTTTCATAGAGGAAATGCAAAGCCACTTCCCCTCTCTGTAAGGGTGGAATAAGAACCTTCTAGAGAACCTGCTCTGCTTTGAAATAAAGCACAGAAGACAGGCGTTTGTAGCTTTGACTGTGAAGTCTCCTGGAAGTTTAGAGAGAGCATTAAAACAATATCAGACTCTAACGGTGGTTCGATTTCAAATTTTCTGTCTTTCCAGAATGCTTTCATAACATGTCTCGATTCTTTTTTAGAAATAAAACAAACAAAAAGCAAACTTACTGTCGCCCAGGCCAGCAGGTAGGGGCACTGTCACCTCATCTGAACTCAATTTATATGGCCTTTTGACAAACACCTCATAGCTAGTTTCCTCAAAGGGCGACAAAAGGACATCGCAAGTTCAAAAATGCTTTTAAAACTTCCTTCTCTGAAAACGAATCTGCATGTCATCATTCTCCAGAGCACACTGCAAATCCCTTCCAGGGAAGTGCTGATAACGTTGTGCCATAAACCCCTGCCGGCTGGCCAGGCTTTAGGCTTCTGGTTAAACTCAGAACTGTTGAGTTGAATGCAGAGAAAAAGGTTCTGGCTGTTGGCTTCAGAGACCTCCCTAGGAGTGAATGCGATGGTCTCTAACTCCATGCTTTATGGCCTGCTACATAGTTAATTCCGATTAAAAGCAAGCCTCGGTTGTCAGAGATAAATGGATCTAGACAGTGTCTTTGTATAGTCC